CAGCTACTCTGGAGGCTGAGGCAAGAGGATTGCTTGGCCCAGGAATTTGGGGCTGCAGTGAGCTGTGATTGTGCCACTGCATCCAGCCTTGGTGACAAAGTGAGACTACCTCTCAAAAAGTAAATGAAAAAGAAGTATGGTTTCTACTGAATGTGTATTGCTTTCACACATTAAGACATCAAAAACTTGTGAGTAGAACCATTGTAAGTTGGGGACTGTACTCTTTCAATTTTAGTCCTTTGAAATTGGAGATTTGTTTTATATGCCTCAGTATTTCATCTACTTTGGTGAATATTTTGTGTACACCTATAAAGGACATGTATTCTGTACTTGTTGGGTTTGGTGTTCTGTAAATGTCCGTTAGATCAATACTGTCCAGTAGTGTTTTCCAGATCATCCATTTCCTGACTTATTGTCAATTCACTTTTCCATTAACTGAGTGAGGTGTAATAAATTTTCTTAACTACGTTTATGCATTGGTCTCTGTCTCTTTTTCCTATTCTGTCATTTTTCTTCCTGTATTTTCTCTCAGTCCATGGCTTGTCTTTTCATTGTCTTATCAGTGATATAAAATAGGAGTCATGAAGGGGGTCATCCTTGCCTTGTTCCTGATCTTAGTGGGAAAGCATCTAGTTCCTTAATGTGATGTCAGCTGTAGGCTCTGCACTCTCTTTTTTTTTTGAGACAGTCTCACTCTGTCCCTTAGGCTGGAGTGCAGTGGTGCGATCTCGGCGCACTGCAACCTCTACCTCCCGGGTTCAAGTGATTCTCCTGCCTCAGCCTCCCAAGTAGCTGGCTGCCCGCTACCATGCCCGGCTAATTTTTGTATTTTTAGTAGAGATGGGGTTTCACCATGTTGGCCAGGCTGGCCTCGAACTCCTGACCTCAAGTGATCCTCCCGCCTCAGCCTCTCAAAGTGCTGGGACAGCAGGCGTGAGCCACTACACCTGGCCTGCACTTCCTTTTTATTTAAGCATAGCCACAATTATTTGCAGAGGACATTGGTTAGACCATTTTTAACCTAACTTATAAACAGTATAAATTGTATTGAACTTAATTTTTTTATGTTATTTATGATAACATTTTTAAAATGTTATCTAATATCTAATCATGTGCAGGTTTCCTCAATTGCCTCAAAAAATGTCTAAACAAGGTTCACACATTACAGTTGATTGGGGTCTCTCTTTTTTTTTTCTTTGAGACAGAGTCTTGCTCTGTTGCCCAGGCTGGAGTGCTATGGCGCGATCTCGGCTCGCTGCAACCTCCACCTCCTGGGTTCAAGCGATTCTTCTGCCTTAACCTCCGGAGTAGCTGGGATTATGGGCGCCCACCACTATACCCAGCAAATTTTTTGTATTTTTAATGGAGATGGGGTTTCACCATGTTGACCAGGCTAGACTTGAACTCCTGACCTCGTGATTCGCCCACCTCGGCCTCCCAAAGTGCTGGAATTACAGGTGTGAGCCACTGTTCCCGGCCAATTTTTGTATTTTTAGTAGAAACGGGATTTCACCATCTTGGTCAGGCTTGTCTTGAACTTCTGACCTCGTGATCCATCCTTGACCTCCCAAAGTGCTGGGATTATAGGCGTGAGCCATTGTGCCTGGCCAATTGGTGTCTCCTTAATTCTCTTTTTATTCTGTAAGATCTATAAGAGCTCTTTCTATTGAATTTTTTCTACTGTATTTTTAATACTATTCATTTGTCGAAAGTGTTGCGTATTTTAAAAATTGCAAACATGTTAGTTCACACCACAGAACGTTTGTATCATTTCTTAATGACCGTTCCTTCCATATCCAGAATATCATGATCATACTGTTGACAAAAAGAGTCAAACTCTGTAAAATATTTTTAGAGATTTATTCTGAGCCAAATATGAGTGGCCATGTCCTGTGACACAGCCCTCAGGCGATCCTGAGAACACCCAAGGTGGTCGGGGTACAACTTGGTTTTACATATTTTAGGGAGTCATGAAACATCAATCAAATCTATTTAAGAAATACATTGGTTTGGTTCAGAAAGGCAGGACAACTCAAAGTGGGGAGGGGGGCAGATTCCAGGCTGTAGGTAAATTTAAACATTTTCTGGTTGACAGTTGACAATTGGTTGAGTGTATCTGAAGACCTGAGATCAACAGAAAGGAAATGTTCAGGTTAAGATAAAGGATTGTGGAGACCAAGTTTTATTGTGCAGGGGAAGCTCTCAGATAGCAGACTTCAGAGAAGGCAGGTTGTAAAATATTTATCAGACTTAAAAGGGTGCCTGGCTCTTAGTTGATTATCTTTTGTATCTGGGAAGGAAGGAAGGAAAACAAAGGGGAAAGGGGATTCTCTATAGAATGTGGATTTTTCCCACAAGAGACTTTGTAGGGCAATTTCAAGGTATGGCAAAGAAATGTATTTTGGGGTAAGACATTTTGATTTTCTTCCTTGTTATGCCACAGTCAGATTGGAAAGTAAGTCATGATATACAGGGTTAAATAAAACTCATCAGATGAGAATTTATGGTTTGTAGGGCACGAATCCCCGGGCCTCTTAGGTAGGAATTTGGGCAAGATAAAAAAAAAAATATCAGAGCTTTGTCCTCAAAACCTAACACTATTAACAATAATTCTCATCACATATTGAATTGTCTCTTGCAGTCCGCTTTTCTCATTCATTTGTGCAAGACAGGATCTAGTCAAGACCTATACTTGTCATCTGAAGAATGATTTATCTCTTAAGAAATATTTTCATTCAGAAAAAAATCTACCCCTACTTCTCCCTTCTTAAAAATCTCTTCATGAAATTGACTTGTTATAAAACTAGGTCAATTACTGACTGCCTGTTCCTAAATTCCAAGTCACATTTCAAATTTCGGTACCTAATTTTTGATACGTGAGTGGAGGGAAGGGTGCAGCCAGGGTCATATAGGATACTCAGGTTATGGCCTCCACCCTGCTTCATGTCTCCCTCAAAACCGGGAACTTCTGCTTTGGACTTCCTGGAACCTGTCCTTTGGCCTCAGGGTAAATGTGGATGGGATGCTTTTGTTTTCAGTATGTTGAGGCTTTTTATTTTTCAACATGAATGCTCATTTGAGGGCACTCTGAGGCCTTTTTCTTTTAATGGAGTCCACACAAAGTCTCAGCCAGCTGCTGGAAGATGGGGGCTCCATTCCCCAACTAGAGTTTGGATGTGAACCTGTTGCTGGCTCAGCTCTGTGGGCTTTATTTGAAAGACACTGGCTAAGAATGGGCTTCACTAATGCCCTCTGCAACCTGCCTTTGTTGCTTCCCTGTTCCCCTACTCCCTGCTGAATTGGGAGTCTGGACAGCGTGTGAAGGGTGTTCTTCCCAAGTACCTCTCTCACTTCTTATCTCTTTCCCCAGATTTGCCTCTGCGACTTGCCTCTCCTCTAGGAAGAGCACTCCAGAGAGCAGGGAGATGGCGCCAGGACTCCTGACAACCAGGGAGGAGGTAAGTCCTGAAATTTCTTCCTAGCTATTGCAGGAAGGATTCATAATAGTTTCTTGTCCTGAAGGCTGCCTTCTTGGTATTAGGCAAAGCCTATCTTGATCTTATAGGTGTGACTCTTCTTATCTGGGGCTTTCTCTCAGTTTTATTTGCTACATTTATGACTCAGGTATTTACCAAGGAGTTAACTGTGACCATCACATCCTGGGCAGTTAAAATAAAAATACAGGACATCCATGCTTATGTGCCCAGTGACTCCGAAGGCCTACAAAAGTATAGTGGCTCACACCTGTAAACCCAGTACTTTGGGAGGCCGAGGTGGGCAGATCACCTGAGGTCAGGAGTTCGAGAGCAGCCTGGCCAACATGGTAAAACCCCGTCTCTACTAAAAGTACAAAATTAGCTGGGCGTGGTGGTGGGCGCCTGTAATCCCAGCTACTAGGGAGGCTGAGGCAGGAGAATCACTTGAACCCAGGAGGCTGAGGTTGCAGTGAGCCGAGATCACGCCACTGCACTCCAGCCTGGATAATAGAGTGAGATGCCATCTCAAAAAAAAAAAAAAAGTATAAGAAGGCTCTCAAAAGACAAATTGTCTGATTTGCCCCTGAAGGGTTTTGCAAGCTGAAGAGTCAAGGGAAGAGACTGCTGTGAAAATGGCACAGGACAGTGGCGCATGCCTGTAATCCCAGATACTGAGGAGGTTAAAGCAATAGAATCGCTTGAGCTCGGAAGGCGGAGGTTGCAGTGAGCTGAGATTGCGCCATTGCACTCTAACCTGGGTGACCGAGTGAGATTGCATTGCAAAAAAAAAAAAAAAAAAAAAAAAACGGAAGGAAAATGGGGCAGGAATCCTATCCCTTCTCAGAGACGAGGTGACTGGCAGGCTATCCCTCACCCTGTGGGAAGCTTTCAACAGCCGGTGGTCTTTGGCCACATTAGTCTTCTGTGTATAGGTGAAGGCTCTAATCTGCTATTTCTGTGTGGTGCATGGATAGATTTAGTTTTGCAGGCCTGTACTTTATAAAGTGGGTTTGCTATACTTGAAAATTGGAAGATTATGCTTAAAGGTCCAGATTGCCTCCTTCTCTGAAAATAGATTATTCCCCACCGGCTAGGCAGCATTTGAACTTGATGTAACTGAATGGAATGAACACTGACAACAGAAATGGCTGTCAGGCAGGGCATTTTTGTATTGATTTTATCAATTAACAAAATATTTATTGTCATTTTTGCTAATTCAATTTTGCTTTGTGCTATAAATATGTCAAGTGTAGAATGTTTTTGAGAGATCTGTATGTAATCATATTCCGGGGCTCATGGTGGATATTTGCATGTTTCTGGATACATTAAAAATGGTTTTGATTTTATCAGACTGTCACTGAGAGCTGTGAGTCCCTTATTTGTTACACTTTTGAGAGAAATCTGTAACACCTTTGAGAGAAAATATGTATGTAGCACAGGCAGTTCAGGATTTTTTTCCAAGGTAATAGGAGACTTTTTTCTTCTGTATGTTGCACTTTACTGTGTATATTAACAGAGAAACATTCTTGCCAAACATGGAATACTGGCTTATGTTTTCTGTCCTTACTCTTTCACTTCCTGTGGAATCTTAAGCAGGCCCTAAACCTTATCTGTCTGTGACCAACTTCTCTCAATATACATTTTTGTTTGTTTGTTTTAGCCATTTCTTTGTGTTAGAAACAAAATGCTTGTTCCTCAGTGCTGCAAAGAAATAGCACTCAAATGTAAATTTGATTTTCTCAGCAAGGCAATTTTTACTTCTATAGAAGGGTACATCTCGCGAATGGAGTAATGGTGAGAGCACACCTGGACAAGGGAGGGGAAGGGGTTCTTATTCCTGACGCAGGTAGCCCCTACTGCTGTGTTGTTCCCCTGTTGGCTAGGGTTGGACTGCACAGTCTAAGCTATTTCCGATTCGCTATTTTAAAGAGAGCAGGGGTACCAGCCAGAGTGGTTGGGTGGGTAGTTTGGCGGGAAGGGCAGTTACTCAGGATGATTCAGGCCAGAGCAGGTGACCAGGGGTGACTCAGGTCAAAGCAGGTGACCAGGGGAACAGATGTGAACTACTGATTATAACTGGTGGGAAAGTTGTTTACTGAAACTAGAGGCAAGGGGGCGAAGAGAACCAGGAAGTTAAACTTTAAAATGGAGAATCAAAGAATAAGAGAGCTGAACATACTGACATACTGATTCTTTGAAGAGAAACTTGGAGTTCACTATATCTAACATTTGTGAAAAATTGATGAAAAGATATAAACGTCTAAGAGGCTTAGCTTTTTAAGACAAAGCTTCCGTACCTAGAATAGTGTCTCTTAGTCAAAAACTACTCATTGCATAAAGGGAAAGAGGTTTGTTTGTTATGATGCATGTTATTTTAAGCATTGAAATTATGTATTTTATGATTTTTAAAATTGCATTTCCTGGTACTTTGTTATGCATCAGATCTGAATTATGTAGAAGAACCTGACCTATATGTAACATGACATTTAGGCATTTTTCCTAAGGGCTTTTGCCTGAGAGGAGAAATTGTAACAGGCATTATAGTTGTAACACAGAAAGGGAGCTGGTAAGCACAGTATGTGAGCTAATAAGAAACTAATTAGCACCCTGCGAACCCAGAAAACCTGAGACAGGTCTCAGTTAATTTAGAAAGTTTATTTTGCCAAGGTTGAGGATTGTCAATGAAAAGAGTCAAACTATGTAAAATATTTTTAGAGTTTTCTGAAAAAAATATGTGTGACCGTGGCCCATAACACAGCCCTCAGGAGGTCCTGAGAACATGTGCCCAAGGTGGTCGGTGTACAGCTTGGTTTTATGTACTTTAGGGAGACATGAGACATCAATCAAATACACTTAAGAAATACGTTGGTTTGGTTCAGAAAGGCCGGACAACTGAAAGCAGGGGTTTCCAGGCTATAGGTAAATTTAAACATTTTCTGGTTGACAGTTGGTTGAGTTTATCTAAAGATGTGGGATCAATAGAAAGGAAAGTTCAGGTTACGATAAAGGATTGTGGAGACCAAGTTTTGTTGTGCAGAAGAAGCTCTCAGATAGCAGACTTCAGAGAGGAAGCAGGTTGTAAAATGTTTCTTATGGGACCTAAAAGGGTGCCTGGCTCTTAGTTGATTATCTCCTGGATCTGGGAAGGAAGAAAGAGAGGTAAACAGAGGGGAAGGGGATTCTCTATAGGATGTGGATTTTTCCCACAAGAGACTTTGCAGAGCAATTGTAAGGTATGGCAAGGAAATATATTTTGGGGTTAAATATTTTGATTTTCTTCCTTGTCTCATAATGTTATGCCAGAGTCAGATTGGAAAGTAAGCCACGATATATAGAGTTAAATAAAACCCATCTGATGAGAATGTATGGTTTGTAGGGCATGAGTCCCCAGACCCCTTAGATAGGAATATGAGCAAGATAAAAAGAATCAGAACTTAGTTCTCAGGATGCTCCCATGACAGCCTCAGGAAGTCCTGACAACATACGCCCGAGGCGGTTGGGATACATCTTAGTTTTATACATTTTAGGGAGACATGAGACATCAATCAATGTATGTAAGAAGTATATTGGTTCAGTCTGGAAAGGTGGAACAACTTGAAGCAAGGGCTGGAAGACTTGAAGGAGGGTTCCAGGTTATAGATAGGTGACAGGGACGGTTACATTCTTTTGAGTTTCTGATTAGCCTCTCCAAGCGAGGCAATCGGATATGCATCTATGTCAGTGAGCAGAGAGGTGACTTTGAATAGAATGGGAGGCAGGTTGGCCCTAAGCAGTTCCCAGCTTGACTTTTCCCTTTAGCTTAGTAATTTGGGGGCCCCAAGATTTATTTTCCTTTCATAACCCCTTCATTAAATCTTAAATTTTTTAAAATGTTTGTTTTGTGCAGGAGACTTTGTTGGTTTAGAAACAATGATACCTACAGCATAGCATCAATTTGTATAAGATATTTGGTTTGTTTAGGGGTTCACTCCTCATTGGAAGTAAAACTTAAAAAAAATTTTTTTGTTGAGATATAATTCACATACCATACGACCCAACCATTTAAAATGTACTATTCAGAAGATTTTATTATATTAACAAAATTGAGTGACCTTCACCATCATGTTTTCATCACTGCCAAAAGAAACCTCATACCCATTAGGAGTTATTCCCCATATGCTCCTCTCCCAGCCCCTCCCACTGATCTGCTTTTTGTCCTATGGATTTACCTCTTCTAGATATTTTATATACATGAGGTTATACAATTTAACAAAAACGAAACATGTATCATAAAAAATTACAGAGTAAGGGCTGGGCGTGTTGACTCATGCCTGTAATCCCAGCACTTTAGGAGGCTGAGGCAGGTGGATCATGAGGTCAGGAGATCGAGACCATCCTGGCTAACACAGTGAAACTCCATCTCTACAAAAATTACAAAAATTAGCTGGGTGTGGTGGCATGCACCTGTAGTCCCAGCTACTCAGGAGGCTGAGGCAGGAGAATTGCTTGAATCCGGGAGGTGGAGGTTGCAATGAGCCGAGATCATGCCACTGTACTCCAGCCTGGGCAACAGAACAAGACTCCGTCTCCAAATAAATAAATACATACATACATATGGAGTAGGGAAATCCAGGCCTCTGTCCTTCCCCAAAGCAACTAATGAGCTGGCAGAAACTGTCAGAATCAACTTTTGTAAAATTCTGGAATCTTATCAAAACTGGAGGACTTGGTGAAGAAATAAGCTGCTGCTTAGTGGTGAGAGCGTACTGTAGCATTTCAGACTGCCTGGCTACCGTCCAGTTGCCTCTCTCCCACCTGTCCATGAGGAAGCCCAGGCACAAAGACTTTAAGTCAACTTTCTTAATAAGCACAAAGAACCAAGGAAACCATGGACATGGAACTAGAGTATATGAAGTCAACAATTTTCAACAGAGAATATCAGTATAGAAAACTTATTTTAAAAGGTATACTATGAGGCTGGGTGCGGTGACTCACACCTGTAA